GTTTTCAGTGGCAATCATGTTGGCTTTTCTACCATCATGTCAAATCTCAAAATATTCTAAATACTTGCCTAAAAAAAGATGCTTATTATTAATGTCAATATGCTAACAGGCTAATATGTTTAACATAGAATAGAAAGCCTTAATTGTCACTATACACAAATATACAATGAGATTTTGTATATCAAAATAGCAGCCTCGACAATAAACATGGTTACAATCAGCACGTTATCTTTGTCATTGTGAGCATGTTAGCATGCAACCCACTATGACACTAGTGGTGTTACTTGCAATGCTAATTTGAAATTAAACGCTTATGGAACCTTTTAACTTATTTGTCACATATTTAGTTGATGTACATTATAAATACTTTACCATACCGGGTAGATATAGTGTATGTTTAATACAGAGAGCACATGTTAACCACATTATATTGACCTCTGACTGCTCACTGAGCGTGTGAATGATGCATGTTATTTAATGTGAGAGTCACCACGTAATGCTTTCTTAATATAATCAGGTTAGGAAATTGAATTTATTATTTTTATTAAGTTATAATCATTTTATTTTATTATAATCAGGTGACTCCTTTACCTGCCACCACGTCTCACTGTTTGCTTTTGCCTCATAACACAAACACACATAAGATATAATCGTTTGATTTATGTCACTATCAGATACCAGCATCTGTTGTTCAAATGTAACATTCACACCTTGTCTCTCATTCCTGTGTATTGACAGCATGTTGTACCTGTTTGCTGCTACAGGAACATGTGCTGCTCCTCGTGGTGTTGCAATGCCTGTTATGGTTTACAAATACAAGCCTACATAACATACTGCACGTTCTGATGTTGGTTTCTATATATGGCTGCTTAGCCATAATCTGTCATACATTTGAATGGAATTATTCCTCAGGGGCTTTTTCTGTTGGGTCTATCTTTCCTTTTTTTCACCATTGTTTCTCTTCAACTAAACACTCTTCTCACTTCTTCACGCCCCAAAAGCATTAGTCACGCTGTTTCTGAGATAGCTCACACATTTCTATATTTCATTATTCACAGCTAACATGGTGGAAACCGTCTAACATCAGCTGTGCCATAAGGACTCGGTTTTCACATTGTCATCAGATTCTGACATGGTGGAAAAATGGTCTTTCCTTTAAAAAAACAACATGAATGCCTACGTTCAAAAAGAGCAACATGGATCCACCACATCAACTAATTGATGCAGAAAAGAAGTGGGACATGTATTCCACAAGGAGTGGGCTCACCGTGAAAAACTCTTCAAAGTAATACATAAATAACAAGACTGCTTCGCACATGAGCAAACGTTTGCTTGCTACATCATGAAAGAGATTTGTCTCCCATCAGGAATTAGCAGGTTAACGTTTGACCCAGATACAGTGTGCATGTTCATTACATCAAAGAATTGTAAATGAAGCTTTCTCATTTAAATAAAAATGATTTAAAAATAACTACGTTTTTCTAAAGTGTGCTTACAGCTTAATGCCAGGCTACATGACAGAAAGGTATTTTAGTCAACATAAAACAAAAAGGATAATTAGATACAAGTATGTTCTTCTTCTCCACTCGAATTGTATATCACCCATAAAGCCTGCTGAACCACAATGTCCAACAAAGTTATTTCCATCAGTGAACGTTGTTCTATGGCAAAAAAAAGGAACATTTCTATAGGATCGCTAACAGCCAACCTTCCAGTCATAGAGTTCAAAAACCGGTGGCTCTGCTAGCTCCGAGGCTGGGACGAGAGACAAGCGATTTGGTTCTTAAACCCTGCTGCTCACCACAAGATAAGATGTGGCCACTGTCCGCAGTGACGTACATGATTATGAACAGTCCAGCGCACACTCTCCAAGAATAAAAAATCTTTTGTTTTGGCCAATTAAGGATTATGATCACAATCTGACTCTGACAGAGTGATTCAGTATTTGGTGACATTAGCAAAAAAGAGTGGTATCATTGTATTGAAATGTAGATATCCCGCTTAGTTTGATTTGTGAAAGAGTTTGTATCGATTCAGCATTGTACTATAGCAATGTACAGTTAGACTCACGATGGATAGTATAAAGCAGCAGAACCAGATATATGTCATTTCACTCCTCTTCCTTGTCAAAACCAGCCGCCTACTTTACCCACAATGCAGTTTGGTTGGAGATTCAATTATATGTTAGCAGCAGCTGATGTAGCTTTGTGACATCGCTTGAATCAGATTGCAGCAGCCCCTATTGGAGCTAAATAGGGTGTAGTTCAACTTCACTCAGATATGCAGTGGTCCTCCCCAAGCCTTGTAAACAGACTCTGGTGTGAAACATGTATGAATTATTCCTATATCCACCAAAGCCAGACATCAATCAATCCGATCATCCTCGATGCCACTTGTAGCCAAATATACCACAATGAACCTCCTCCTTTGTCCCTTATTGGTTCTTGTGTTCCATTCCTTGGCTGCCTCTCCCTCCTTTGCATATCTACACACCTGCTCTGAATAAGCCTCATTAGTTTTTCCCTGCTTCCGAAGCTTTTCGCAGCCAATCATCTCACTGCCTTTTCTGCTTCCTAATCACCTCATTCCCCGCACCTGAGCTCATCCGCCCATCTCCCCCCCTGCACTGCGTCCCCTGTCAGATCCCTTTGTGTTGAAGCCTTTACAGTTCAGTTTTGGTTAGGTTCTTTGATTTTGTTCTGATCAGTTTTACATTGCCTGAACCAATCTATGAAAACATGTGTGTCTTTAAGTTCCTGTTTCTGCAGTTTCAATCCATCTGCTCCACACTTCATGAATTTACTGTAGTTGTCCCATGTCAGTGTAGAAATATTCACATAATTGGTGACCATTATTTTACTATTCACTATTACAACCTGATTGCGTTTAGATTAAATCGCATTCTCATGAACTTTTAATGTGCTGTTTTTCCTTCTGAGGCTAATAACATATTGACCAGGTCAGCAGCTGACTTATGCATTAAATACAAAGTGTAATGTCACCCACATGAGTTCTGTGGTGTAATTCTGTTTAATAGAATGTGTTCGCACCCAGCATGGAAGCTCCCCGAGCTGCGGGTTGGATGTGTGCAACCTTCATTTACTTTCCCACAGTTTCTTTTGAAGTCGGGAATAAGATAGAGAGATAATGTGTGCATTAGCAAGGTCATCTCCCAGTATAGTGTTCTAATTATGGGCCCAATGTCCCTTTCAGTGGAGTGTCTGTGCATATAATGAAGTAGAAAAACGTCGATTTGGCTGCAGCATGAGAATAACCCACCAAAGTTACTCAAGTTACTATGGTTTGTTTTTTATAGTACTTTAATTATTATCAAAATGATTAAAAATGTACACATCATACATTTGTATGCAGTTACAGCATGGATTTAACCACCATCCCAAATCTAAAACAGTCAGCATCGCCAGAAATGACTCTCATATTACTACAGAGAAGGAGCTACTGAATTGTGGCCAAGCAGCACAACGTGGGACCCTGTCTGACTCCAGATAAACCACAAACCAAGCAGAGCTGAGTCAAAAACTCCCAAAGCAAAAACTCAAAAATCCCTGGCCACCCTGCCTGAGAAACAGCTGACGTCAGCTGTCTCAGCAGACCGCCCACTGCGATATGGCTCCATTTCCACTGGATACAGATGAGAAACAAAGTCGGCATTAAAGAAGAGGGATAACTAGCAAACTAGAGGGCTACTGTAGAGTGACTGATTAACAAAACGAGACAGGAGAAGAAGAGAGGATAAGTATATACGGGAAGAACGGAGAGAATGCTAATTTGAGTGGAGTGGGAGATGAAATGGAGCCATATCAGGTCATGTGCCTTCCAGAGACAAGACCCTAATCTACACACACACACACACACACACACACACACACATACACACACACACACACACACACACACACACACACANGTGTGTGTGTGTGTGTCGAGTCGTGCGTGCGTGCGTGCGTGCGTGCGTGTGTATTCATCGTGCCTCTGCTAATCATCTCCATGGACCAAGTGCCATTATCATAATGGCACTTGGTCCATGGAGATGATTAGCAGAGGCACGATGAATACACACGCACGCACGCACGCACGCACGCACGACTCGACACACACACACACACACACACACACACACACACACACACACACACACACACACACACACACACACACACACACACACACACACACACACACACACACACTCAACACAATTAGTAGATTAGTGAAGCCAGGAGTAAGGTAAGGGTCAGTTCCTTCCCCTGAGTTAGATGGACAGATAATAGAGTGATGAGGAGGAGGAGGAACACAACATAACAGATAAAGGGCAGCAGCAGACAACAGAGTAAGGAACAGGACAGATATAATGGAATAATACACATTTAGCCAGAGCTACAGGAGCCAATTTGGTTATCTATCATCCTAGGGGCAGTGGAAGTCCCACAGTGTCAGTCAAGTCTGCTTTGGGTTACTTTTTATTCCCAGCATGATAGTGCAGGTAAAGAAACTTTCATTTCTGTGATCATGTGATCTCTCCATCACATGGTGCAAATGAAAGGTGCACAAGGTAAGCCTAATGGTTAGGAAAGTTGGTTCCTCCTAAAACCGTGTTTAAAAGAAATTAGTTTCAGATTGACGAACTGAGAATAATTACAGATGAAGATTAAAAAACGTTACGGAAAACGTATGGTTTTAAACTGTGATGGCTCTGTAGGCCTATGTTATGCATAGTCTAAATAAAACATAGAGGGTTACAGGGTCACGTAAATGGATACATACTAGGCTACTATTAGATATGAGATTGTGGTTTATTATATTCTTTATCGGACAGTTATATGGACTTGAATAAAAAGAAAAAATAACTTATTTAATTAATAGGTTGTAAAAAATATCAAGTTATCTGTGTTTTAAAAAATAAATGATGATGCCTTTATGTTGAAAGTGACTCGGGTTTGAGTCCAGCATGAACTTTTTTGTTATTTTCATGNGACAGAAGAAGCGATCGAAAATCACCCCAGTTGATCGGGAAACCAGTTAACGAGGGAACCAGTTAATCCGGAACACCGGCTATTACGCCACTTCCTGCCACTACCTCTCCAATTTACGATACTTTTCGGTTGTAAAACAAAATGTGTTTTGAATTTCAACACGAAAAATACTGACAACATTTGCTGTGAGTCTTCAATTTGCAAATGTGTTTACCGACAATGTGGAAACACCGCCGTTTTTAACTTAAACAGCAGTGACCGTTTCATCAACAGGCAGCATCAGGGGAGGAGCGTGCACATGCAGAGCCCACCTCTGCTCAAGTATTTGTATGATAAACACAGAAATAACGGGTTAAATAAGATGAACAAAACTCAATAGAAGACGTTAAACAGGGTTAGCACAAACACAGGACAAGCCAAACAGGGATTTCTGGAATTCAGGTAAGAACTAACGCTTTTCCACCACTTTAGCATCTAGGGAACAAGTATGGATAATACAGTTTTGACTGTAAATTTCAATACAATGCATCACTTTTATGTTGCAATTTACATATACTTCTAACTTCTATTTACTCTCTTTAATAACACCACGGTTGAATGTGTTTTATACTGATATGTTTTGCATTTCTCACTCTCTGTAATGCACCTGTCACAGTAAAGACACTACACTGACCATGCTGCTACGAAGGCTGACCCTGTGTTCTAGGAACCATTTGGATTACCGGAGAAGAGTATGTGGGTTTCTCACCAGACCACTGACACAAGGCAAGCCATGCTGCACAGCCACTCTGTGACACACGTAATCCCATGTAAACACTGTATTTGATGTCTGTTTTCAGTCATCCAGCATCCTGGATGACAGAAAAGTCAAACAACAAACTTGCAACCCCAGATCTTTTAATACAAGTAGATTATGTATGCTCATATAAATGCTCTTTCGTTGCAAAAACATCTGGATTATTGTCAGATTATTAAAGTATTCTGATATGTGATTAATCATAAATACTTCTTTTTTTTTTAAATAGCAAACATGCTCTAGTTCTAGCATTAGGTCTGGGGATGTATGCATTACTTTAATTTATGTGAAAGTTAACTGAATTCTGAGTGATGCTAACAACACTTTTTATTAATCATCTTTTGGTTTAGTCACCTATGATTTAATTATTTCACACTTGTTTTATATACTGTAAGAAAAAAAAGGGGGGGGTTTAAACTTGCTCTCACAAAACAAGCAATTTGCAGAGGTCTTCTGAGCCTCAGGGATGGCCATTTTTATTTATGTATTCTTTCACATAATCAGACTAATCAATAATGTGAATAATTATTTTCAGATTTATAATGCTTTTGCTTGCAAATGTGTCAGTCTCTTGTTTTTCTGAAAGTACACAATATTAATGTGTATTGTGTTATGTCAAAATAGTCAAAAGTGTCTGTTGGCAGATGTGGTGAATTTTAAAGTGCTCCTTGTAAACATGATGTAACACACTGTGCAAACGTTGACTGGGATATTGTGTTTGCAGAGAGATTTCAGATCTACTTTAGTCTGAACAAGATGTCAGGATCTTTCTGTCCCTCTCTCTCTCTGTCTCTCTCGCGCTTCATTGGTAAAGAGAGATGTGTAATGTCAGCACAGGCTATTCTGCCTGCCCTGCTGATGTGGCAGTTTGAAGGCTGTGATTATCCGTTTCCCACGTTACAGATGAATGAAGGGGAGGGCTTTACTGTGTTTGTCTCAGTCATGGAATTGTATAGTGATGAAATCAAATATAAAGCTATAGTAATACACTGTTACATCCAATTAATTAATAACATTCCTATCTGGAGTTCTCCTGAATGATTAGTCTATGTAGGTATTATTTCTTCTCATGCATACTTCATACTACTCCTGCTTCCGTTTTTTTTCTGAAACACTTCCTTTTCAACAGTCAAGTAAAAATAACTTCTTGTCCTTTTATACAGTTCCCAAGGAGAGGGCTCATGGGAGCTCCTTTGCACACCGCGGGGAACTGCGCCAGGCCAAGAGGATCGTGGTGAAGCTGGGCAGTGCTGTGGTCACCCGTGGGGATGAATGTGGCCTGGCTCTCGGGAGGCTAGCCTCCATTGTGGAGCAGGTGGGAGGACAAATAAACCAGTATAGTAAAAACATACGTTTAAAGTTCTGAATAACTTCCAAGACAATTCTCCTACTTAAATAACAATGTTTATTGTCAACCTCCTTATGTCAAGTCATGCAGATAGTTTTATTTTCCTAGGTATTGGAATATTTTACCACAACAGTACAATGGGTCAATTGAATTGAGGTGTAATTGAATAAAAATGCCATGTTACTCTACCACACATGCTTTGAAGTAACTGTTCTTGATTTCTGCAAGTATAATCCCATTGACCCCATGGTATTTGGGTGGGGTAAAATAAGACAAGTCTTGACATTTAAAACTAATACCAAATAATATCATGGCTAGTTATCACAAGTGGTAGGTAAGAAAACATGATTTCTTGTTGTAATTTTGTTGAACCAACATTTTAAGGCTGCCTCCTTTGAGCATGAATGTGAAAACAAGTGAGCCCAGCTGTTGTCTATTTCCTAATTGGGTGAATCGGACTGCAGGTGGCCATGCTGCAGAATCAAGGCAGGGAGATGATGATTGTCACCAGTGGAGCGGTGGCCTTTGGCAAGCAAAGATTAAGACATGAGATCATGCTGTCCCAGAGCGTCCGGCAGGCGCTGCACTCGGGACACAGTCAGCTCAATGACATGGTAGGAAAAGGTAGAGGAATGTGTTTAGGCTTCAAGTAATTATAAAGTATTTCCCTTACGGTTTTACATTTTTGAAACTAACAAGGATGTTCATTATATATTCAGTTGTTTGTTTTATTAAATGTCAGAAAATTGTCAAAAATATTGACCAAGGTGACAGAAAATATTCAAATAAGAGGCTAGAATCAGATTTTTTCAGTTGGCATTGTATTTAATACTTGACAACTAATCAAAGCATCTTTGCAACTCTAGTTGAAGGCTTATCCGTTTACTCAGAAAATCTATGTAACCATTTACTGCCTTTTGCGGCAGTTGGTGCCGGTACTGGAGGCCCGGGCCTGTGCTGCTGCTGGACAGAGTGGGCTGATGGCGCTGTATGAGGCCATGTTCACCCAATACAGCACCTGCACTGCACAGGTAAAATAATGACTTGAAATAATGATCAAGAAACATATTACAGTGTCATATTTGATCTCTCTCACTCACTGCTTTCTGTTAACTCTGCTGTCAGGTCCTGGTTACAAATCTGGATTTCCATGAGGACCAAAAGAGGCAGAATCTGAACAGTACGCTGCAGGAGCTGCTGCGCATGAACATCGTGCCCATCATCAACACCAACGACGCTGTGGTGCCCCCACCGGAGCCCAACAGCGACCTGCAGGGGGTAAATGTGGCTACAGACAGCATGGGGGGGGGGGGTACGCAGCGGAGGAGACGATGATGATAAAGTGTAGACCGTCACTGTTCATTAGCAGCAGTGTTTTCTTTCATCCTCACACGATGAAACACCTCAACCAGCCGGCCTCACCTAAGCAGCTCTGCCCTCAACCATGAAGGCACAAGCATGATGGGAGGGATGGCAGTGCATGCTGTCACTGGAGAGGTAGTGCTGTCAGAGGGGGGCCGGGGATAACTTCTGTAGGTAGACCCTTCTTTACCTGCAGAAATCACTAACACATCTTTTCCTTGGATAATTCTGCCTCGCTCTCTCTCTTTAAACCTGATTTATTGACATAAAAGAGACTATTTTATGAAAATCTATAATAGGTTTGCATATAATTTTTACTGAACTTATCCCTTGCATGTATATTTAAACTTGCATGGACTTAATTTGGCAGTTTCTCTGAAGTATTTAGTTCATTATGCAAAAAAAGGTTTGAACCCATGCCCAATGAATGGACCTCTTGTTGAAAAAGTGAATTTCTCCCTTTCAGTGTTGCACTCCCAAGCAAAGTGTTGGTTCTGTCACAAGGACTGTTTTGCACTGTTTAGAAGGTCTTTATACATGTATTTGTGTTCATCAGCCAGACTATAACCTTTAAGAAAAGGTTGTTTGCAGATGGCTTTCTGTCTTCAGGAGCTTACTTCAGCATTTTTCTGGCTCTGTAGGTGATCAGCATTAAGGACAACGACAGTCTGGCGGCACGGCTAGCTGTGGAGATGAAGGCTGACCTCCTCATCGTGCTGTCTGACGTGGAAGGTATTTGCGTTACCACAACAACAGTATGGGTCAGCTGTTAGGTAACAACACCATCTGTCTGCACTCTTCACTGGGAAACCCCCCCCCCCACTCCTAACAGGGTCAACTGAGAGTCATAGAGAGACAAACACACACCTTCTGCCTACATGTTTGAAATTGATGCTGATGGGGTTGCCACGAGGTGTGTGTGCATGTGAGTGTGACATGGCTGAGGATCCGTTCAGTATCAATTGAGAAGATAAAAAAAAATACTGAGAATCATTTTAGCCAACTATTTATAATCAGTTTGTTTGTTTTCAGGATTGTACGTGCTTTGTTGTGCATTTTGATACCAAGTTGTGGGCTGATAGTTTGTGTAACAATTGTAAATGTCTTAGGACTGTACGACAGCCCCCCTGGGACAGATGACGCCAAGCTCCTTGACATCTTCTACCCTGGGGACCAGCACACCATCACATATGGCACAAAGTCCAGAGTTGGGATTGGAGGCATGGAGGCCAAGGTATGGTGTCAAAGACTGTGTTGAAAACTCTATTATTTTCATTCAACTTTAAAGACTCAGTAAAAAGTCTCACTGGGAATTCATCAGATGGGCAAGCTATAAGCCAGTGATGTCACACTCTTCTTCTTTCTGGCTTGTGATATTTTTAACAAAATATATTTGTAGTTTGGGCTCTATATCACATTCAGATGTTGAGATGCTGGCAGTTCCACCAAAGACACATTCCCCCTCTAAACTTTTCCCCAGTTTAATTTACATAGCTGTTCAAATGATAAAATATTCCCCAACATAAGCAAATGTTGTTATATTTCCGTAGCATGAAAAACAGATTTGTGTAGGAGAACTCCTTTCTACTTTCCTCTCCATCCATTATCTCACAACCCTTCAGATTTGTCTTGTGGAACTTTTGAGGGGCCCAACCCTTGGTTTTGGAATCACTGGACTACACTTAATAGTAACATTTGAATCTAGTCCCCTCATATGATATCAATGATACATCTTTTTTTTTTTAGAGAGACCTTTTTTCAGATTGTGTCTTGCTTTCTGCAGGTCAAGGCTGCCCTGTGGGCTCTGCAAGGTGGCACCTCAGTGGTCATCGCCAACGGCACCCACCCTAAAGTAACGGGTCATGTCATCACTGACATTGTGGAGGGCAAGAAGGTGGGAACCTTCTTCTCCGAGATTAAACCTGCAGGTCAGTTCACTAGGGCTGCATGCTTTCTCTACCAACAACTTATCACATTTGTATCAATCCTGCATTACATTTGTATGAAATGAAACAAGTTGTAAACTAAATTAAGTTATAACCTGGCGGTATAGTTGATAAACTTGAAGTCTGTCCCTGACCCTTCACCAGGCCCAGCTCTGGAGCATCAGACACAAGTGGCACGTAACTCTGGAAGAACGCTGGCATCTCTGCACCCAGACAAGGTGCCACAATGCCTTAATAATGCCCATTGTTGTGTTCTTGTCAGTTGTGTTTATGGGTGATAGTTTAAATAACATCTTACTATATATTATACAGACCTTAAAGAATAGGCCTAATCTTACCTTTTATCCGATACAGAGAAACACTGACCTCTTGTGGATAGATGTGCTCATCCTGCCTGTGTTTTGTTGCCTGTTGTCAGAGGAGTGAGATCATCTGCCTTCTAGCGGAGCTGTTGACTGAAAGACGGGAAGAGATTCTGGCTGCCAATAAAATGGACATGGACCTGGCTGTGAATACAGGTAACACAAGCCCACAAGAAATCATTTAGCCGAGTTTGCAGATGATGAAGCTTCATAGTACCTATACATACTTTTTCAGCAGACTCCTATTTTCCTATTAATGTTAGGGCTGGCAGCCTGGCACTATAAAAGTATTATTGCGATATCTATAAGACATTTAAAAAATCAATAATTATCATTCTGTCAGTCCATTACATATTTGGCTTTGTTTTGCATTGTGTCTTTTTTCTTTTAGAAAATGAATTGCAATCAAAATAAGTGTAGTGAGGTGAAGAAAGAGTCTTTAACCATAACATAAATTATTTCGGGGCTGGTTTATGTACACAATATTCTCATATGTATGTTATTAACATGATATACTACACCCCTTTCATTGTGTATATTGTTTTCAAATGTTAAGAACAAAATGAAAATCTGATTTTGTTAACTTTTTCTGTGGACAGTTGACTTCCTTCTGTGCCTCTCCACCAGAGGGCAACCAACCCATTTTCTCTCTATGCCAAAGTGTAACTTTGTGTGTGTTTTTTTTTCTACAGGCCTTTTGCAAGCAGCCATGCTGAAGCGACTGAGTTTATCTCCTGCCAAACTGAACAGCCTGGCCCTCGGCCTGCATCAGATCGCTGTGGCTGCCCAGGACAGTGTGGGTCGAGTGCTGCGCAGAACCAGGGTGGCTCACAACCTGGAGCTGGAGCAGATCACTGTGCCTATTGGAGTTCTTCTCGTTATCTTTGAGGCCCGACCCGACTGTCTGCCACAGGTATACAGACAGAGCAGCCGTTAAACACACAGATCTGGCAATTTGGTAATGTATTGGCAAATGCTAACAAGATAAAGAAATTAATATAATCTGAAAATGTATGAACAAAAAAAATGTAATATCTGAAGTAATATTACAAAACATTGTTTTTATGTAGGTGTCAGCATTGGCAATAGCCTCTGGCAATGCCCTCCTGCTGAAGGGAGGCAAGGAGGCTGCCAACACCAACCGAGTCCTCCACCAGCTCACACAGGAAGCCCTTTCCATGCACGGAGTTAAAGAGGCAGTACAGCTGGTAAAATATGCTTCCTATACATGTATTACAAGGCAATACAAACGTTATATACAGCATTTTATGGACTGGGAGGACCCAAGTCTGCATGAAAATACATCAAGCCTGTACAGCCTGTAGCTGCTGTGATTGACACATTTATATTTGCTTCCAGGTGAGCACTCGTGAGGAGGTTGAGGATCTCTGCCGACTGGACAAGATGATCGACTTGATCATCCCTCGAGGTTCATCCCAGCTGGTGAAAAACATCCAGCGGGCGGCAAAGGGGATCCCGGTGCTGGGTCACAGCGAGGGCATCTGCCATGTGTACGTCGATGCAGAAGCCAGCGTTGACAAAGTCATCAAAATTGGTCAGCATATATAAGAACCTTGTCTGACGTGTGCGGAAGTTCATGTGTAAACGATTGTACATTATTGACAAATTAACAATACTTATACATTTACCAAATGTTAAGATGTGTAGTATTGGTAGGCCATTAAGGCCAGACGTGTTTGTTAGCTTGTACTTTGCTCAATTATTAACTGACTAGGAATATAGCAGTTATTGACTGTTATTTTCTCGTTCCAGTCAGAGACTCCAAGTGTGAATACCCGGCTGCGTGTAATGCGATGGAGAGTCTGCTGATTCACAGAGACATCCTCAGGACTCCACTGTTTGACCGGATCATTGACATGTTTCGCACTGAACGGGTAAAACACTGATCTTGAAATGTGTTCCTATTCATCGATATAACATTAGCAATTCTTATAAAACAATTTGATACCCATTTTTTCCCACAAAATAAATTGCATTTCCTTTTGTAAGTGTACTCTTGTCTTGCCAAAGCCAGCATATGAATACATATTCAAACGGTCAAACCAGTTAGCTGTTATCATACTATATTTGTCTATGAGCATGGGGCTGCTTTTATATTTCATTAATAAACTTGCATGCCTGCATACATATTTTTAGAAAAACACAGTCTTCTCCTAAGCCCAAGGGCTAAATATAGTGTTATAAGAAAATGGCTTTATCTCAAAAACCACAAGGAAAACTCATTAAAAGTTCAATATGAAACAGAAGTCGTTGGTGTAATTGAAGATACTTGTTCAAAGTATGGCCGTACCAGATTCTAAACTTAAGTCCAATCAGAATAAATATTATTTCATTTATCTATATCATACTAAATATAGTCTTCAGTACAAGTCTACTTGTCTCTTATTTATCTTTGTTCTATAATGTGTCACTAGGTGAAGATTCATGCAGGCCCCCACCTTGCTTCCTACCTGACATTCAGCCCATCAGAGGCAAAGTCCCTGCGGGCGGAGTACGGTGACCTGGAGTGCTGCATGGAGGTGGTGGACAGCATGCAGGAGGCCGTGGACCATATTCACAAGTATGGCAGCTCCCACACAGACGTTATCATCACAGAGAACGGTAGGTGGCCTTTCCTGTTTGATGGATAAACACAACTAAGACAATACTAGCACAAATTGCTTTTAAAAACGGCAAAAATATGCAGTCTTGCATTATTTACGTCATACCTTACCTCACCCTGGCCAAACAGCAGTACTGAGTCTAGGTCAGTCTTGTCTTGCTCCTCGCTTCTCCCTGTAGGTGTCTGATATTCGTCAAGTTTCTCACTCCCTTGATTCACCTTCCCCATTCATCTCACTTCCTGCCACAGGGACTAATGAGCAGTGACACTTTGTTGTCAGGATGAGTGCACAGCCTCCCTGTGTGACTCTAACGTAGGGGACAGAGCCCTTTTTAAAATATAGAGCAGATGCTAAAACACAGTTTAAAAGAGTCGTCCCTGTCATAACTTTGGGCCAGTTTTGTCTTTCAAGTGAGCCATCACACCACATTCTTGTAACTCATGTTGATTGAACCACTCTGTGCCAGGTTCAGAGTATTTCCTGATTTTTAAAGGCTGTTGCTATACAGCATGCAGACAGAGTTGAAGACTAACATATTGCCCTTTTTGTGACTCCTTCATTTGCCAGGCAATTTTAGAGAGTATCATAAAATATTGATGGCAACTAAATAATTGTATTAAAAACGCAGCGTTTGTTAGACGCTACATCTGCAAGACAAGGAACCATTCTGAGAAATATCTTTTGAATGAATGGAACATCATGAAGTGCAAATTCCTCGATCAAATGTTGAAATATGCAAAATATTTCACATGACTCTTTTTGGTGATCAGAATTAAAGTGAGCATTTCTACATTGAGGATTACTCAACTGCAGTGAAGGATGTGCTGCCATCTGGTGACCACAGAAGGTACTTCAATACATTAAAATGTACGCATTTGTACTAGTTATTTCCTGTCAATCAAATATTGGTAAAGTAAAGCCAGATTTTATACCAATGATACAGTAGTTATAAAACATGTAGATAGATATGTAGCTTGCTTGATAGATATGTAGATACTCTTTCAACAAAGGTAATACCTGTTTTAGCTAAATGTGATCTGATTTTATTAACACACATTTGCGGAGTATTTAATTTTAAAAAAATGCTAGCATTTCAACTAAAGACCTATAGTTGTCTACATCCCCCTGATATAAAGGATGTGTAGATTGTGTGTTCACTGCTCACTTGATTTGAGGTTAGGGAACTGGGTGTGTACTAAGATAACATTAGTATTTGTGATTGCAATGAATACCTGTAATGTATGTAATCCTCAGAACCGCAGATTAAGGTTTTCTCTTAAATGTAGTGTTGTTTATTGCATAAATTCATTATTTTAATCTCTATTTCTATGGCATAATCACAATGAAAAGTTGTTGTCTGAACCTCATGTTCATGCCTGAAAAGGTGTTATGAGTTTGTGAGCTAACAAGCTATCTTTCTCTTTCAGAGCACACAGCAGAGCAGTTCCTGCAGCTGCTGGACAGCGCCTGTGTTTTCTGGAACGCAAGCTCACGTTTCGCAGATGGCTACCGCTTTGGACTGGGTATGTAGTGATGATGTCCCCATATCATCTATCTGTTGTCTGTATTCCTGTGAAATCTTTTCAACAGCCTTATATTCTTGTTTGTTCTCTCTCAAACTACTGCATACTCTCTTTCAATACAGAAATTATGTTTTACATTTCTCCCTTGCTCTCTTTCTTCCTCTTTTGGTATTTAGGAGCGGAGGTTGGAATTAGCACCGCTCGTATCCACGCCCGGGGCCCTGTCGGCCTGGAGGGGCTGCTCACCACAAAGTGGGTCCTGAGAGGGGACGGGCACACAGCAGCAGACTTCTCTGAGCAGGGTACCATGAAGTACCTCCATGAAAAGCTGCCTGTTGGGCAGCCTCTTGCTGGGCAGCGGGACAGCAACTAGACCACAGAACACTCACAACACTCACTTGGCCTTAACATTATTCCAAATGGTTTGCATTGCCCAGCAGCAGCTCTGTCTGGGAATGAGTTGCAGGTGATGGCTGATGTCACTGTTTTACACTTTGGAAGCACACAGCATGGAGAGAAGCTTACCACACCAATGGTCCATTTTATCAGCACAAGCAGAAAGTTGTTCAGACTGTTACTGAGAGTTTACAAATGTTTTAAAGTCTACCTCAGCGTATGATTATATTATACGAGTGAGGTAAATCACCCTCAAAGGCTGCTGCAGGAGGTGTAATGTGGATATAACGACACAATACCTTCAGAATAGCATATCAAATAAACAAGGGAATTAACTGATAACTGTTTTAAAGGCAGCATAAATGCACATTATTTATACTGAAGTGCTAGAAATTACTATCTTTTCAATATGGAAATCTCAGGCCGTGTTTTTAAAACTGATACTAACTGACATAAATGGCATTACTTTTATTCATGAAATTTGTATAAAATCTTAATACTATGTGTAATTTGTGCCAAATACAACTTGGTTTTTGTCATATGCACAATTAATTAATTAATTACAGATAATTTGCAAAGAAAAAACCTTAGATCTCAGGTTCATTCAAACAATGCTAATTATAATGTTTAAAGAAACAACAAATACATGTACGCATACATTACAGGTACTTAGTTTTCAAACTTCCATAAAGCATCCAAAATCATATATCTGGTCAATGATCAGCACACTTAGCAATTCTCTCCAGCAAATAAAAAAGGGTATTATGATGAGGGGCTTGTTGTATCTTTAATTTATTTAATATTGTTTATTGAGGTCAATTTCATGCTTTAATTGTGCATAATCTATAAATGTTAGACCCAATTTTATTTAGCTGACTGCTTTCAGTGCTACCAACAAGGATCATACAGATTTCACTGTAAGTGCTTTCTTTGTTCATAAACTATAACATCCAGTTTTTCTTTCTCTTACCGTAATTTCAGGTTGTTTAAGTGAAAACTAATAACTGACTAATAACACTACATGTTGGCATTTATTATAAAATGAATTATCTCAGTTTTACTGGTGTGTTTACAGATTATGATTTAGTATTAGATGTTAATTCCATAAGATAATTATTGTATAAAGAACATTGATATAAAAGAAACCCTAGTTGTGTTTCATAGCAATGAGAGTTTGAATTCTTCTATGCATCCATTTTATGTTTTTTTTATTTGATCATTGTTACAAGTTGTGCTCATTTTTCCATACTTTGCTGCTTGCCTGCGTGTTCATTGTGCGCCCAGAGCCTCTGTCAGAGCGGGAACAGTAATTGACAAGCTGCCTCCTTCAAGCTGGAGGGGGAAACCGCGACTGCTTTTAAATCAAGCTTTGTTACATTCCAGCCTCTGAGCTCCCATCTGATGTCTTGCAATGCACACTTAAGGGTTGTATAATAGCAGTATTGTAGAATTAAAAAGAAAAGTGTCGAAAAAGAATATTTGGATATTTTTTCTTACTTTCTTTGATTTTAGCACTTGAAATGTTGAGGATCTTTACACGTATGATCATCTCTGTCCTGGCACTAGTCTTTCTACTTTCACAAAGAACACAAATTAATGGGGGGAAAAAAGTCGTGCTGATTTGAAAAACAGATGTCTAAAAAGGGCCTTTTTAAAGTTGCCCATAGGGGAATTCGCATTGCTGGAAGTGGGGCAACGAAGATGGAAGACAATACTATAGAGGTTTAATTATCCACCCATCAGAATGAAAAGAGGGAGAACTGAGACTAATAATGGAATCACGGTCTTATGTTCTTGGTTTCTCTGTTTCTTTCGTTTTCTCTCTTTTCCAGCATCTAAAGAATTCATTCTCTAAATCGCACTACTTACCCTTCAATCAGCATCCCATCACCAAGTCCAAAGGGTTCAGAGATGAAGAGGGAGACAAAACTCAGATCTCACTCTTTTGTCCTTTTTATTTGAAGCCCTTGAAAATACCATCTAAATGACTTGAGGTAGAGAAGGAACAATCCAGGGACATTGAGTATAGCCTCTTTGATGCACATGTTTTATAGAACTGTATTTTGAAATATTGCATTAAAGTTGTTTGCTACAGTAACGGTAGCTATTTCGGTGCATGTGTGGTATACTCGGATGCTTTTGTGAACAGCTGTTTTTAGCGAAACAATACGACATGGAGTGTTGTGATACGAAAAACTTCCTTTGTTGGGTTACTGAGTATATTCCTCTGTATAATTTTGCAGTCAAGTATTGTATTTTGCGTTTAAATCATCATATATTTACAATAAACCGCAACCCTATGTCAAATCCCCATCTAAATGGTCTACATTTGATCTTTGAATCCAAGGAAACAACTTATTTTACATTTCCATCACCCCAGTTCTGTTCTCTGCTCATGTGCCAACTTTATGGCCCCTAAAACAGGATAGTACATTTTGCAACGTTGTACTGAATATTTAAGCAAGGCTGTTTGGAGAGTTTCAGGTTATTTGCCACTGTTCTTTTTATGTAAAGTTTGCAGGGTTATAACCATACACTTTCAACATAAATGACCATAGACTTGTTTTCTGTAGTTTCTATGCAAGGCACAGTGCTTACTTTCTCAATTTGATTAATATTTGAAGACCCTGCCCCTTCATGACCTTAGATTAGCTTCCATTTGTGGCTGAGAACTGGCAGCCTGTACGTTTCCTCTCATCTCTTATCTGACATTGCCCCCAGACCCCAGCTGATCAGATCCCATGTTGCACTCTGTTGATGTTATGTTGTCTGCTGGGTATTGTTGTCCACAGATATAAAAAGGATGAAGAGGGCAAATCATTGGACTTGTACAGCAAAGCCGACAATCCTTTAATTGGACATTACTCAAGGCCAAAACTCATATTTCTTGTTGTGCTTGATCTTAAGAGACTCTCAAATGCACTCCCCACTGGGCTTCAATTTTTTTTAAATCAATAATTAATGGTCAAAGTTATTTATTCATGTGTATCTTTGCCAATTACGCAGTGTCTAATTAACAATTTCAATAATTGATATTTATTTCTGAAAGGGTTCAGTATCTTGGGCTGATGAAAAATGCATGAGCAGGGATGTGGACTGGGTTTTGTTTTTTGTTCTGAGAGAGCTTGATGCTCGGGGCTAATACCAGACCACTTTGACTCCAACTCTTTGAGTTGGCACTGGCCCTGTGATGTGGATCTAATATGGGCATCTTTCATGGACCCAACGCGCTTACTCTGCACCATGTGATCTCATAAAGACTCCTACATGCTCATCCTCAGATACCCTTTTTTTGTCTTTAATATTGAGCTTCAAAGAATAAGCTTCTGTTTCCTTGATAATTTCTCTTTGTGTGTGGAATGTCGATATCACGGCAAACTGTAGAAACTCTCGGTCTTGGTCTAGGACCTCGGTGGTTACTCTTCTTTGTCACTCTGTGGTCCGATGAAACTAAGTTCAATCACCACACTAAAGAGAAAAATATTCCTCAGATTTATGAAAAGCCATATCCCCCTGATCTTTTTATAGTGACAGCTGTAGTAGTCAATAGAAAATTAACAAAGGCTCCCTTTAGTTGACTTTCATCAAGTTTTCTTTTATTGTGATTCCAGTAGGACAGGAGGTTGGGGACTGGTGAGGCAAACCATTTTGCTCTGGGATGACCAAAGCAAAAAAGATCATTACTATTTATTGAGCGTTGCTTGAGCACTGAATAGGGAAGGAACTTCACCCGACAATGCAGCGCAGCCCGAGAAAAACCAGAACCCAACATCAGACGCACCAAATCCCTCCATCATAAAAATGTATGACTTCAGGTTTGGACAGCACAGTGTTGAGACCACACTGAAACAGTGCTGGCATTAGGGGAACAAGAGGGTGGGATGCTAACAGTGGGGTTCAGTAAGGGTGAAAAAAGCTGGGAATCAGTTGAGCTCAGTGATACGTCTCAGAGAGCCGATGGTTGGGCTGTTGCTTCCCCACTCGCTGTGCCTCCTGTACTCTCCAGGGCGCAGGAAGAACTGGCGTCCCCTGTAGTGGGGGTGTTCATGCAGAATCCAGTAGCCCTCCATGACGTTGACGGAGGAGATGTCACGGGTGTGGAAACGCTCGTTCAGATCGGGACAGTCATCGCTCAGCTCCATATTCTGGCCTCCAAAGTCGGAACGCTCGAAGATCTTCATCTTGTAGTTGCCGTTATACTAAGACAGAGATAATCATACTGTCATTTACTGTAATCATTTCTTAAACTTTAACTCACCACAGTAGATTAACTTGGCAATTTCAAATACATTTATAAAGTTCTTGTACTAAAGTTGTTCTGATCCAATGACCCAGTCTAAATGTTATTTTTCTCTCGACACAAATCTTTTTACACAAATCTTTTTGCTGCATAGGTCAAGCTAAAAAGAGAGGCTTTTTAAATGGCCACAGGTCTGGGCACAGAGTAGTGAAAAAATAGAAACGAAATGTCATAAACTGTCTAAACCTTAAGTGAGAACATTGCTGTAAACAGTGTTAGGCATCACTCACAGTCGGCACCATGCGGCAGGAGCGGATGCAGTCATTGAAGCCGGCCCAGCGTTGGTAGTCGGGGTACTCGCCCTTGTTCAGCATGTACTGGTAGCCGCCATAGTTGGGCTTCTCGTAGGCCACCCAACAACCGCTGTCCACTTTTATCGAGTTACAGCGGGTGAAGTGGGTTTGCATCTCGGAACAGTCACTACTGCACTCATAGTGACGACCCTGGAAGTTCTTTTCCTCGTAGAAGATAACCTGCAAGCGGTATATAGGTAGACATTATCACCATAGGGCTATAACAAAGACAAACTATTGCTATTATTATCTGATAGATGACAAGTTATCTGTCCTCCAGCTCTTCAGACTCTTAATCAATAATAACTTGACTTTTAGTGTAATTTAGTTTTATATCTCTGTCATTTGGTATTCTCTGCCAGGGGTTTGAAAGTTAGCTTTATCCAACAAAGTTCTTGTACAGAATTACAGAAAGTAAAGAATTTTGGAGTTGACTCTTAAGGGAATATGAAAACATGTCCCAAATGTTGCACCAGAGACAAAGTTTAATAAAATACAGAGTACCATGTGGTACACTTTCATGAAGAGAAAAGCCTTGACATCTTTTTTTGCTACAGCGATTGAGATTCAAAGCGCAGTTACAAAATTGCTATGTTTTACTACCATCAACAGAAGGCAAAGCAGAGTATAATTAAGTATAACTAGCTAAGTCTAATTACGTCTGACCGTTAGTAAGGCATAGTGTGGTAAACAATCATTTAGAACAACTGACAACTGGTAGCATTGACTTTGCAGCATTGTTTCCCACCTTTTAAACCCCTTATTTACAAATGATCAAGATACTATCAAACTCTAAAGTTGCTTTTGATATAGATTTCGAAACGCACGCTTACCTTGCCCATTGTAACTGTGTATATTTCAGTGGGCTGTTCCAGGCCTTTATAGACCCTGCTTGGATCAGGGCTTTGGAATTGGAGACAAAGCTTTGCCGTGTCAGCACAGTGGGCTGTGTGGAGTGCAGAACACTATAGGACTGGTGCGCTGCAGCAGCCGCTTTGTCTCTGTCAAAGCTCTCTCTTTCTATGGAAAACACTGTACAGCTGCACTTTCTCACAGCGCTACAATAAGAGTTGCAACATCTGCCTTTATTGGTATGAATGCCAAAAACCTACATGCAGACTGTGAGGTATGTGCGGACAGCAAAAAGAAAAGGTTTGTTTTGTTTTGATAGGTATATACCAGAGATATTGATAATTAAGCAGCAACAGACTTTCTTTGATATCAGATAGATATAAAGATACTTCATTGATCCAGAGGGATATTTAGAAACCAAAAAGACCGCTTGGCCAAAGAGTGTTGTTTTCAGGCTCATGGTAGCATGCATGTGTTTAAAAAAAAAAACTCACAAAGCACGTCGGTTTTTTTATATTACTTTTTTATATTGAGTTGCACATGGGTAAAGTTTACATGACAGTCCTCATCCTCCTGAAGGAGCCGACCATGGGGTTTTGGCATCCCCAGTCTCCGCAGGCCCTGTAGTCTCCAGGGCGCAGGAAATACTGACGTCCTCTGTAGTTGGGGTGCTCATAGAAGATCCAGAATCCCTCCATGATGTTGCAGGAGAAAATGTCACGGTAACGGAAGCGCTCGTACAGGTTGGGGCAGTCATCCATGAACTCCATAGTGTGTCCCATCATGTCGGGCCTGTTGTAGATCCTCATCTTGTAGGATCCTCTATACTGTGTGTGGGAGAAATCAGATTTATTACGTTAGTTTGGTAGGCGTCAGCCCTAGAGAGCCTTTTGGTAGAGCTTTCAGCCCTGAGCTGATATATTTCAAATGATGACTTTTATTATTTCTTTAAGTAAGCAGATTATAAAAACTCTATCGGAGCATGACGGGATATTTTTTTTTCCTTTCCCAAACTGCCAAAACACTCAATGTGACTAACAGAATTAAAATGAAGGCTCCAAGTCTTATGGGGGGTGTATCGTATTCCTTTTAAAGGCTGACTGGGTCTCCTTGTGGGCCTTGCAAAAGAGACTTTCATGCTACGTATGACCTGCCTGAGTATCTGTTAATGACATCAAAAGGCAAATGATTGACATCCATTTCTAAAGCGGCATTTGATGTGCAAGGTAAGGGGTGGGGGTTGGGTGTGTGTGTCTGTTTGATTGACTTACAGGGGCATACATCTGGCAGGAGCGGACACAGTTGTTGAAGCCCATCCAGTTGTGGTAGTCGGGGTACTCGCCGGGGCCAATGATGTACTGGTAGCCCATGTAGTGAGGCTTCTCATGGGCCACCCAGTGACCACCGCTCACACGGATGGAGTTGCAGCAGTTGAAGTGCTTGAAGGTGTCCATGCAGTCACTGCTGCACTCCCAGTGGCGGCCCTGGAAGTTGCGGCCCTCGTAGAAGATAATCTAGAAAAGAGAGAAACATATGTCACTCACAAGTTAATGTTAGGTATATAAATGCACCAGTTGCAATACTCATGAATAGACGGTAGGGGACACTGCTCTCCTTTAAACAAACTAAATTACTTTGTCATGAGAGCCTCTCCTGTCTATTTTCAGAGTTTTGACAGATGAAAATCAAGGCAATTAAAAATGTGTTAGCTGAATTTAATTTGAAGAACTCTTTGTATGCTCCTTCAATCTCAACACTGTCAACTGTGTTGTTGTACAATTACAGCAAATCTATCCTATATAGATAGCATATAATTGCTCATGTCCACAGAAGCTTCTCTTTTAAACCGTTATAAGTGTGTTTTTCCCCTAAAAAATAACCAAACTTAGCAGTCTGATCACATTTTTTAACCCAATTTCTTTACGGGAATTAGTCGTTTTTGACTACCTCTCCTCACCCTCTGCTGCATTTTCTTTCACTGTTAAAATATTTGACACCCAAAACCTTCCATTTTCCTCTCTGTCAAAACGGTTGCTGTATTGCAAGTGAGCTCATACCTTTCCCATGGCTGTGCAGTTGTGGATTTGTAACATAAACCTAGACACACTTACAGGGCCTTTTATACTCTCCCACTGACTATGAGGCCTCTGACACGTCAGGAACTACTACTCTTTACCTTTTCAGATGCCAACGAGTGTTCCCTTTGTCTGTCCGCCCACACGTACCTTATCTCCTGTCCGCTAGAGTTTACCTATAGAATTGACAACCCCCCCCCCCCATCCAAAAAAATCTGAATACCACACAAGTGCTATTCTGTGTTTGTATGACCCTTGTTCCACCAGGACCTTGTGATGCAGCCTTTTGAAACATCACACAAAGGCCCTTTAGGTATGTGGCCCCCCAACAACAAAGCTTTTAAAGGTGTATACTAGGTTAGGTCATTTTTGGGGGGCACTCTCTAAACTAGTACTTAACCATGTCAGGATTTTCATTTCATATCTTGCTGGCGTGGAGAATTGTAACATAGTTTGGTTTTGTGCGTTCCCTAAGTGGATACAGGTCGCAATGTAATTGTTATTCAATTCCTGTTAAAGGGAAGGGGTGTTGATACTGTGGACTGAGTCAAGCTGTTGCGTTGATGTAATCTACAGTGATATGTTGTCTCTTTTTGCTTCCATAGCCTGCAGTTGTACTATGATGCCAGACGAGACTGGTCTGTTTACAGATGTACAGAGGGAACTACTCGGTGTGTGTGTGTGTGTGTGTGTGTGTGTGTGTGTGTGTGTTTGTTTGTGTGTTTGTCTAATATAAAAGGGGGGGGTTTGGGGCATCTGTGGGTTTGAGTCTTTGCATAAAATGATAGATGTTTGGACTTGAGTCTTTGGCTTGTAAGCATAGCCCAGAGCTGAAGGGGAAAAGGCCAGAAAGAGTTGCGGCCATGTATTGTGTTCCCAAAGCCCAGCTGATGCCAGAAAGGTCAGTCTCATCCTTTAGCCTTTCATCGGGATAAAGGGCTCCTGCCCCCTCTACACTTTGTGTGCTTTTTGCAGATTCAACTGTGTAAAAAGGCAAAATGTTTGCAGAAAGTACAATAGCCATTATGTTCCTGGGCAAAAACACTGCAACTGTGGTAGCGTATCCACAGCCATATGACACTGTTTCAGTGTTAAGGAACAGCGTTGATAAGCTTTTGCTTCTTTGATCATTCATTGACTTGAAACTCTCATAGGCTTCAATAGCTTTCATGTTTGAAGCTGCACTCTTTTTCTATGACATAAGTAGTTCATTGATATCCTTTCATCACAGTGTGCAGCGTAATTGTGGCAGATTATCAGATGGGATGTTGTTTTGTTTTTGTGAGTTTCCTCAGCAAATATTTACTCTGTTGGAAAGGTTTTATCTGAAAGTATAACAAACAAATGTTTAGATTTTCCTCATATGTTCCTTCATAGATTAATAATTGATTTAATAATTTCTATTAAATGTAAAGTCTTTGTACTCTGTCTTGATGCAAGAGGGCAGCAGAGTGACAGGGAAATCCTACTCTTGCTGGTGTTTAAGCTTAGCGTGATACAGGCAAGCTTTTACTTTTCTGAGGCGTCTTTGAGCAGGTCTCTATCTACTTGAAAGGCTCAGTTTGACCTGTGACCTTTGCATTCAGAGACACATGTAACGGAGGTGCAATACTTTGTTCAAACCCGGACAAAAAAAACGACCACTGCCGTCATTGCCAATGTTCTCGTTTTCATCACCGAGGAACATCAGCTAACCCTAACTCATTAGCTGGGACCTCGGCTCTCTCTGCGTCTCTGTGGCTTCCAGAGGGGAACCTTGTTTCACAGGCTCTCAAATGATCATCTTTAGCTGCGCTACAAGACATCTCCTCCCCACCCTGAAGGGAAAGTAACATCACAGAGGCCCTTGCCTGCTTTCTCAGTTCCCCCCGGAGGAGAAGAAAGCTACCCGCTGTGGAGCATTCCACTCTTCATCTCAGAATGATGGAAGAAAAGGAAAGGAGAAAGGAACAGAGTGGGGGGCTACATTCGCAGCTCCATTGTGTCCGAAAGATCTCATTGTGCAATCTGTGTAACCGCGTGGGAGATGACGACACTATTAGCCCGCAGAATGACTGTCAGTTGGGGACCTCTGTGATTGATGTGCACCCCACAGAGATGGGAGAAACTTTGACAGATAGCAGCCCCGCCACTAGTTAACTTGCAACCTATTTCATCTACCCGGCTTCCAAAATAAAAACCCCATTTGTGTGGCTGATAATTAGAATGTAAAATGCACTCAGTAAAACACATTTCAGGTCAGAGGAGACTTCTTTCAATTCAAAACAAATCATATCCCCATAATCCAAACCATGGTCTCTGTGACCCTGCTATATGCAATAAGTCTCACCCCTTAAATGTTGCAGGCAGAGATAGGAGAGCAGGCATGCTTGCAGTGCCTCCAATGTGCTCTTTAAATGAACAGTCATTACAAAAGCACTGTGTTACTGAGGGGTAAACAAGGGGGTCTATGTGAGTTTTGCTCCTGAGAACTGGCTAATCTGGTGCGGAAAATGTGGTATGATCGGAAAGCGCTCGCCAAAAAAGCCTCCCACGCCGGGAGTAGAATGAGGACCTCTCTTTTGCTGAGAGATGATCCTCTCCATTCTTTCCGTCAGAAAATCTCCAGGCATCCTCCCTCTCTTGTCACTGCCAGCGCTCTATCGGGATTGCCAGACGCAGGAGCCACTATGAGCCTGTGCCAGGGCCAGGATTTACCGCGATGCGTCTGATGTGCTCCATCTTTTTACTGGGGGATAATTAAAAGAGGAAATGGTGTTGGAAGAACAGAGTGGAAAAGCAGGAGGTGGGGGCTTGGAACGAGCAAATGGATGCAGCTGTCAATTATGTCGAGTTGTTGATATGTTGTTTGTGTTTCTCTCTTTGAGATTTTGTGTCCCCATCAGGATTTAGTTTTAAAGTTTATGGTAAATCTC